GCTCTTGTCCCCAGACTCCCTCCTCGTCACGTGGTCGTGCCCGTTGCTCCCCCGACTTTGTGAACCTCCACCTATCAGAGTACTGCCCAGCATACTTGATCGCTCCGAGCTCGCATCGCCGCTCCATCACCCCGTGCCCCCACTCGCTCGCGTCGAACACGGTGACCTTGGGGCTCCACTCCATGTTGAGCTCTCTCGAGGCCAGGGGCACCAGGCGACTTGTCCACTCCAGCTCCTGCTTTACTGTGTCCCAGAGAGGCGCAACCCGAACAGGATGACGATCGATAAAAGCGTAGACAGTGTGAAGTACAGAAAGGATGGGTCGTCGGAGCAAGACGCGGCACATGATGTGACCAACGATGCTTCTCAACTGGGCGCCGCTCGCACGACCCCGTCGCAGTAACTCTCGCAAGCCAAGGATGAGGCGCCGGGCGGTGCGAGGGGCGACGCCTACGGCCGGCCGCCACTCATCGAAGTGCCAGCCGAGCGTGTCCCCCCCGCGGCTGCAGGTCACCGGGTGCACGCCAAGCCCGTCGGCCGTCAGCGCCTCGCCGACCTCGGTGGCCATGCGGCGCCCCTCCTCGCCGTCGGCGCCCAGCGCCACGAAATTGTCCACGTGCTCGGTGTGAACCGGCCCTCGGGCAACGGAAGGCGCTGGCCTCCCGTCCACCGGCCGGTTGCCCCCCTCAACGCCCGCGACCCCCTCGGCCACGGCCTCGTGGAGGGCCTGGCAGACGTACAGAGCGCCCTTAAGCCCATGGGCAGCACACTCAGCACGGGCACCAGCTTCTCCCCAGGATGCAGCCGCACTCCGCCAAGCCAGCCCACGCCGACGGCGCCGGCGCAGACAGGCTCCATCCCGAAGTACTCCCGCAGCTCCTCGGGGAGGCCGATGGAGTAGAAGGCGACCTCGATGTCGACTCCCGACACGTGCACCGGCTCGTTCCCCTCGAACTCTAGCCGACCAGAACTGTCTCCAGTAGCCAAGCTCACTCCAGGGGCGTCCTTAAACCAGCAATTGCTCACGCGGCAATCCAGTATAAGACGCTGCTCGCCCCCCTTCTTCCAGACACAAAATGTGCCCACACTCTTTTTGCAGCTGCGCCGATATTCGACGATGCCCCGCTCGTGCAGCATCCGCAGGAGCTTAGCATACTCCTTCGGCTTCTGTCTGATCAGCGGGTCGTTGTAGGCGCGCCGCAGCTGCTGTCGCTCCTCCTCTGCTTCGCCCTCTTCGGACGTCCGAACCAAACTCTTGAGAACCTCGAGAACCTTCGCGCCCGCCGAGCCGCCAACATCCTGGATGCGAGCAGGTCGGCGCTGGAGACTGGGCAAGGCCACCCGCTCCACCTCGAGGGGCGCAACAGCTCCGGCGGAACCGCCGTAGCTCTGCTTCGACAGGAGCTCCTCCAGGGCTCCCTGTCCATGCAAGTCGGCCGGGGGCGTACCGAGGTCGCGATGCGCCTGCTCGATCCGCTCCAGCCACGCCAACTGCGCCGCGCTGGGCTGCAAATTCGAGCCGCTCGGGTGGTTTGATCCCCCGTGCAGCTCATTGAGGGTGGCGATGGTCCCGGAGACTCCGTCCTCATGATGACGCCTCCGATGTCCTCGCCGGCGGACTGCATGGCTCAAGAACTTGCTCCCGCCACCCGCTTCCCCGACCAGCTCAGACAATGGCGATCGGCTCGAAGGCAGAGGGAGCGGAAGAAGTTAAGTTCACGGGCAACTCGTCGTCGCTCGTGAGGAAGACTGCAAAACTGTGGAGGCTGGCCTCCGCCCCTGCCGCAGGCGGCGCCCGCTGGCGGCCGGGGCCGGGGGGCGGGGGCTCCCGCCCGATCACTCCCCATCCTTCTTCTTGTTCAGGGCCCGGCGCTCTTCCCGCGCCTTCCGCACCTGCTTCATGATGTTCGCATCCCTCTCGACCTCGCGCGATGCGAAGTCCATCAACTCCGGCGCCAGCATGACGGCCCCAGCGTCCCAGTGCTGACCAGTGAACACCAGGGCCTCGTCGAGCAAGCCGCCGCCCTTGCCAGCGCCCTTCTTGCCCATGTTGTTGCTCGTCAGCTTGGCGACCCGCTCCTGCTCGTACACGTGCTCCACCAGCTGGGCCTGCCGGAACAGGCCCTCGAAGCTCGCGAGGTTGCAGAGCTCCAGGTGGTCGTAGGTGGCCGCGTCCTCCACCGCCTTGAGGCACATGCGGTGCGCCTCCACGCCCCAGTCGCCCGTCTCGAGCCCGTGGAGCACGATGAAGTACCTGTGGTGATCCATCGGCCCGCCCCCTCGGCGGTTCAGGAACAGCATGCACCACTCGGCCGTCCTCGGGCCTACCACGGGCCAGTCGGCGAAGTCCGTCACGCTGGACTTCCCGACAATGTCCCGCCACTGGCTTCGCGCCCGCCCCGCGTCGCCGAGGTCCACGCCCAGGATCCTCGCGTCGCTGGCGGCCTCGGCTCCGACCCGGCCCACCACCTCGCATCGCTTCAGCTGACGAAGGCAGAGGGACGACCCACGAGGCGTGGTGGCGAGCGCTCTCTCTCCAAGCACCACGGCGCCAGCGGGCAGCGCCAGCTCCTCGCCGCGCCGATGACGCTCGGTCGTCTCCACCACCACCCACACCACGGTCTGGTCGCCTCCCCCAGCGGCACCGCCTCCAGCACCAGCACCTGCTCCTCCTCCTCCTGCTGGGACGCCGACCCGCCGAGGTCCTCCCGCGGCGGCGGCAGCCCCCGCAACAGCGGCGGCGGGCGCCGCACCCACGGCGGCTCCCCATGCCGGAGCGGCCGGGGGGCCCGCGGCGCCGGCGCCCTGAGCACAGGGCAAGCGCTCGATGTAGCCCCCCGGCGGCACCACGGTGGGGTCGCGCCCGGCGGCCGTCTCGCGAGCCCGATGCTCCGTCCGCTCCATCGCTTCAGCCTGATCCGCGGCGTCGTCGAGCTCCTGCTGGGACGGCGCCGCGCGAAACCTGTGCACGTTGCCTCGCGCCAGCCCCGGCGGGGGCGGCCAGCGCGCCTCAGCGTACCTCACCGCCGAGATGTTCTGCTCCTCCAAGTCGTACTTCTCCGGGTAGCAATCCCCGTCCGGGGTCAGGATGTAGTTAGTCGCCCAAGACACCCTTGAGCTCGCGACGCGCCGCCTCTGGTGCCACAGCTCGCCCTCCCCATTGTAGAAGACGTACACCCACGCGCAGCTCGGGGCCTCCGGCTTGCTCAGCACCGCCGGCATCCTTCGCGGCGCGACGGCGGCAGCAGCAGCCCTGCGCTGCGCCTCGCAGCGCCTCCGCGCCGCAGGCGCCCGCCAGGCCTGAGAGCGCGAGCAGCCCCGCGGCCCAGCTCCACGGCAGCCCGAACTCGAGCTGCACCTCCGGCGCCGCCTGCAGCGGCCGGGGCGCGCCCGGACACGCCGGGCAGCTCGGGCAGGCTGGGATGCTTGGGCACCGACAGCTGCAGTCGGGGCAGTGGTGCTCAGGGCACCGAGGGCAGCTCGACAGGTAGCTGTGCGTCAGCCCTGCCGCCAGCCCAGCCAGGTCGCTCCACATCCACTGCGAGAGCGAACAGAAAGGGGATGTGTGGCCTCTCCACAAATTTAGCTTGAGCGAGACAGTTACGGAAAACACATAGGCAAGATTCTAGCTTGCCACCAGAAAAACCGACCCTTTTTAGTTGAAAAGGGTCGGTTTCTGTCTGAGCCCGCGTAACGAAATTCGGCCAACTTCGTTCGAGAGGGCCCCCAAGATCAATGTACAAGTACGGGCAGATATATATACATATATATATATATGGAATCCTGCTAGGGTTCAATCCAGCTCTAACAGAATCCTACCCGGGCTTGGTCCATCTACCAAGGCTCGATCCAACCCTCATCGAATCCTACTGCGGCTGAATTCAGCTTGAATAGAATCATATCAAGTCTGATGGCATTCTACTACAGCCCGATCCAGCTATCAAGTCACATCTATATAGTGATGAATCCATCCGTCCGTCATGTATAATCCTACATGGGCACGATTCATGTGTAATAGAATCCTGCTATGGCTGGACCCTGCTCTTATAATCTCATGTTCGGGCCCGATCCAAATTTTTATCGCATCCCACTAGGGCCCGATCGTCGGCGTAGTGGTCGTCGTCGGCGTCGTCGCAGGCGTCGTCGTCGTCGTCGTTTTCGTCGTCGTCCTCTCCATCGCCGTCGTCGCTGTCGTCGCTGTCGTCGCTATCGTCGCTGTCGTCTTCGTTGTCGTCTTCGTTGTCGTCTTCGTTGTCGTCGTTGTCGTCGTTGTCGTCGGCGTCGGCGGGCGTCGGCGTCGTCGTCGTGGTCGTCGTGCGTCGTCCGTCGTCGTTGTCGTCGTTGTCGTCGCTGTCGTCGGCGTCGGCGTCGGCGTCGGCGGCGTCGTCGTCGTCGTCGTCCTCGTCGTCGTCGTCGTCGTCGTCGTCCGTCGTCGTCCGTCGTCCGTCGTCCGTTGTCGTCGTCGTCGTCGTTGCCGGGGAGGGGGGGGGGTATCTGGACCTCTCGAATGATTTTCCAAGCGTTTGGGGGTGTTCTGCACCCCTCCGAATAATTCCCCGTGGGGGGGGGGTCTGGACACCCCCCTCTCCCCGTGTTTTTTGTGTCCCCTCCTCCCCTGCCAGCAGTGGCAGAAAGCATTCTGTCCGATTTTTCACCACGGGCGTGTTCTCCCAGCTGTGGGCCCCGGGGCCCTCACAAGTCTATCCGGCTTGAAAAATGGCACAGAAAGATGAGGTCTGGGGCTCTGGTGGTGATTTTCGCAGTGTCGCATTGCCTTTCGCAATGCCAGGTCTGACGGGTGACGGGTCGTCCCTGCATTCCTACAAACCTACCACGCTATGCTCTGTGGATAAAAGAATGTTCTAACAACAAACGCAATGTTCTTATACCATACGACATATTGTTTGACATAGGACGGTCTCATCCAGACACGTTCTAAGAACATTTCGTGCGAACCACCAAAGATTATGATATCATGTGTTGGTGGGTGTATGAGCAATACAGGACGCTTGGAAACTGCTTGATCAAAGGAGAAGAACAGCTGCATAAGCATAAACTTAAGAGGCCCCCAAAAGCCAATCATGTGCCCCCAAGAGCCCTCCAAAAGACCCCTCAGAGGCAGTCCAGTAGACCCTCACATGCACCCCTCCGCTGCTCCTGACCCACAGGCGCACAGTGGCACGACTCTTGACGATTTCATTGTTGTGGTTAGGTCGGGCGTGTCCCCCTACAGGGGGATTTTGGACGAAAAATAAACGTAGTAAAAACATACTCAAAAACTACGCACAATAGTCAACACATCGTCCCCAGACTTTTTTCTATCAAACATATGTTTGAATGTTCCTCCTGTAGAGGGACACGCCCGACTTCATGTTATGGGGGTCGGCGGAATGGAGTAAGCTTTTTGAAGAAACACACATGAACTTTCGGAGGTCCGCGCTGATCTCATGGCTCTGCGCTGGACTCCCCTGGCGACGCCTCTGGCGCTGCCCCTGGCGCGCGCCGCACGCCAAGCAGGGGGGGGAGGAGGAGGAGGAGAAAGAGGAGGAGGACGAGGAGGAGGAGGAATAGCAGAGGGGAGGAGGAGGAGGAGGATGAGCAGGAGGAGGAGAAGGAGGAGGATGAAGAGGAGGAGGAGGAGGACGAAGAGGAAGAGGAGGAGGAGGAGGAAGTCCAGCGCCGGTCCAAGACATCCGCGCGGACCTCCGAAGTTGATGCTCATGCCGCTCTTCGTTCCTTTGGGCTCTAGGTTTAGGTCGGGCCTGTCCCCCTACAGGCGGATCCTGGACAACAAATCATCATCATCTTTATCATCTTCATCATCATCATCACCATCACCATCACCATCACCATCACCATCACCATCACCGTCATCATCACCATCACCATCACCATCACCATCACCATCACCATCACCGTCATCATCATCATCATCACCATCATCATCATCATCATGATTCTTATCATCATCATCATCATCACCACCACCATCATCATCATCATCATGATCATGATTCTTATCATCATCATCATCACCATCATCATCATGATCATGATTCTTATCATCATCATCATCATCATCATCATCATCATCATCATCATCATCATCATCATCATTATCGCTCTTCGTGCCTCTGAGCTCCAGGTCCTGTGCTCGCCGCACACCCAGAAGACCCTGTCAGACCGCACGTCGGGCACGGCGAGCTGGGCGCCCTCCCGGCCGTGGCCGACCCAGACCTTGGCGACCTCGAAGTCGGCGTCGTGGCAGGCGAGCTCCTCGGCCCAGGAGAGCCCAGAATGAAGTCGGGCCTGTCCCTCTACAGGAGGAATAATCAGAAATTGTGTAAAGAAATAGCCTGGGCACGATGTTTGAACTATTTTCTGCTGTTCTTGAGCATTTTTTGACAATCTTTTATTTTTCGTCCAAAATCCACCTGTAGGAGGACATGCCCGACCTAAGCCCAGAATCGAATCGACAAGTCGAATCGGCGATCGAAATGAATCGGATCGGCGAAGATCGGCAACCAGGTCGGGAGGAGTCGGAATCGGCGGAGATCGGCGGTCTACAAGGCCTCCATGGAGACATCGGGGTTCGAATCGGAATCCGAGGTCGAATCGAATCGGAATCGGAATCCATCGAAATCGAATCGAGTCGAATTGGAGGAATCGAAACGAGCCCTGTCGGCCACACGCAAGAGCGACCCTGGGGAGGGGTAGCCTTTGGTGCCTTCAGGGGGCCGCGGGGAGACCAAATCCAGGCGCGCAAGCTGGTGCTGGGGGAACCCCGGGGAACCCCTGTTGGAGGGCGAGTTGAAACAACGGCAGCTCAACATCGGTCTCTGGACCCCCCTTGGGGTCCAAGCGGAAGCCGCGTCCACCCTTGGCGACGGGGCCTCACCCGAAAGCCAACCACAGCTGTCTCAATTGGCCCTCCTCTGACCCCTGTGAGCCCGCACCAGAAGTCACTCGGGCGAAGGGCCACTCTTACGACTGGCGTTGGAAACAAAGCGTGCAACATCGATCTCCGAAAAGCACGCTATTCCTATGAGACGACCCCCCCGTGAGGGTCCCTTCTGTGCGCACTATCACCCTGCCAGGGCTTCTTCGGTACACGCTATCCCCGAGGTGCCGAGGCGATTGCAATTACTCGAAGCGGCTTTAGGCGTCCTGCACGGACATGTGCTTGCACCCGGCGCAGCCTAACTTCACAGCTCGCTGGCTCTACTCTGTTCTGCCATCATCAACGATTGATTGTACTTGCGCTGACATGTAGTTTGCGGCTAGCACAGCAGCGCTCTACGCCTTGGGAGAGAAAGAAGGCGGGGATAGCGTGTATTAAGCGGGCCAGCGGCGCCACAAACGATCGGCCGTTTCCGAAATGTCAGATCGTTCAACCTCGGCCGATTCTGGGTCGCTGGCGGCGCTGAACGTTGAACGCCAGCGGCGGGATCGCCGTCGGTCAACACGACGCGAATCTACTGTACGCGCGGGCGACGCGCTGCCGTCGGCACAACTCGGCTCCCCGGCGGCCGTTCGGGAAGATTCCGGTACCCCCAGAACGCTTTCGGCGAGGCGCAGCCGCTGAAGGCATCCCGAGGCTGGAGAGCATCCGAGAACCGACGAAAACGCCTGAGAAACCTCGAGCGCCGAACGTCTCAGCTCAAACCTCGAACGCCACTAACGGTCAGTCACTCGGGCGAAGGGCCTTTCTTAGAAGATGCATATGAATACTGATAATAATAGTACTCATAAGAAGAGTACTAATAATAATAAGACAAATGATAATTATAGCCGGAGTGCAGTATCCCCAAACAGGGTTTTTAGACCCACTGCGGTTTCCAAGGTTGATTGCGTGCTCGTCCAGTGCGGGCTGGCATGGCATGTTAAAACATGCCTCCTCCTCCTCCTCCTCCTGCTCCTCCTCCTGCTCCTCCTCCTCCTCCACCTCCTCTTCACCCCGAACGGCATCTCGGAGCCCAGAGTTGCGAGGATGTCTCCAGCGTAACGGGCTGGACCACCTCGCGCGCGGCATTTCGGACCCCAGAGTTGCGACGATGTCTCTCGGGCGAAACGTGCTGCGAGGAAGTCTCAGGCGAAACGGGCCGGACCACCTCGAGCGCGGCGTCTCAGAGCTCCGAGTTGCGGGGGCCTTCTGGGGCCTCCTGGGATCTCCTGGTGACCTCCTGGGGCTTCCTCCTGTGCCTCCTGTGACCTCCTGGACCCCACCTGGGGCTTCCTGAAGCCTCTTGGGGCTCCCAGGGGGGGATATCTAACATGTGGCCGTCGGGCGGGGCACAAGAGCAGGAAAAATCAACGAATCGTCACCGGATGTGTATTAACTGGACACGCTCTGATGGGGGGCCTCCTGGGGCCTCCTGGGAGCCTCCTGGGAATCTCCTGGGGACCCTTGGGGCCTGTCCTGGGCGTCCTGCGGCCTCCTGAAGCTCTCTGGGGCCTCCTGGGAGCCACATGTGGTCTTCTGGGCCCCCAGGCTGGACCACCTCTTGCGCAGCATCTGAGAGCTCAGAGTTGCGAGAATGTCTGGTGCGAAACGGGCCGGACCACCTTGCGCACAGCATCTCAGAGATCAGAGTTGCGAGGATGTCTCAGGCGAGATGGGCCGGACCACTTCGCGCAGGGCATCTCGGAGCCCAGAGTTGCGAGGATGTCTCCAGCGTAACGGGCTGGACCACCTCGCGCGCGGCATTTCGGACCCCAGAGATTGCGACGATGTCTCGGGCGAAACGTGCTGCGAGGAAGTCTCAGGCGAAACGGGCCGGACCACCTCGAGCGCGGCGTCTCAGAGCTCCGAGTTGCGGGGGCCTCCTGGGGCCTCCTGGGACCTCCTGGTGACCTCCTGGGGCTTCCTCCTGGGCCTCCTGTGGCCTCCTGAACCCGACCTGGGGCTTCCTGAAGCCTCTTGGGGCTCCCAGGGGGGGATATCTAACATGTGGCCGTCGGGCCCCCCCAAAATGGGGAGGGAGGGGGCCACAAGAGCAGGAAAAATCAACGAATCGACACTGGATGTGTATTAACTGGACACGTTCTGATGGGGGGCCTCCTGGGGCCTCCTGGGAGCCTCCTGGGAATCTCCTGCGGACCCCTGGGGCCTGTCCTGGGCGTCCTGCGACCTCCTGAAGCTCTCTGGGGGCTCCTGGGGCTCCCAGGGTCCCAGGGGGGATATGTAACATGTGGTCTTCGGGGCCCCCAGGCTGGACCACCTCTTGCGCAGCACCTGAGAGCTCAGAGTTGCGAGAATGTCTTGTGCGAAACGAGCCGGACCACCTTGCGCACGGCATCTCAGAGCTCAGAGTTGCGAGGATGTCTCAGGCGAGATGGGTCGGACCACCTCGCGCAGGGCATCTCGGAGCCCAGAGTTGCGAGGATGTCTCAGGCGAAACGGGCTGGACCACCTCGCGCGCGGCATCTCGGACCCCAGAGTTGCGACGATGTCTCGGGCGAAACGTGCTGCGAGGAAGTCTCAGGCGAAACGGGCCGGACCACCTCGAGCGCGGCGTCTCAGAGCTCCGAGTTGCGGGGGCCTCCTGGTGCCTCCTGGGACCTCTTGGTGCTTCCTCCTGGGCCTCCTGTGGCCTCCTGGACCCCACCTGGGGCTTCCTGAAGCCTCTTGGGGCTCCCAGGGGGGGATATCTAACATGTGGCCGTCGGGGCTGGGGCCACAAGAGCAGGAAAAATCAACGAATAGACACCGGATTTGTATTAACTTGACACGTTCTGATAGGGGGCCTCCTGGGGCCTCCTGGGAGCCTCCTGGGAATCTCCTGCGGACCCCTGGGTCCTGTCCTGGGCGTCCTGCGGCTTCCTGAAGCTCTCTGGGGCCTCCTGGGGCTCCCAGGGTCCCAGGGAGGATATGTAACATGTGGTCTTCTGGGCCCCCAGGCTGGACCACCTCTTGCGCAGCACCTGAGAGCTCAGAGTTGCGAGAATGTCTTGTGCGAAACGGGCCGGACCACCTTGCGCACGGCATCTCAGAGCTCAGAGTTGCGAGGATGTCTCAGGCGAGACGGGCAGGTGTCTCGGGCGAAACGTGCTGCGAGGAAGTCTCATGCGAAACGGGCCGGACCACCTCGAGCGCGGCGTCTCAGAGCTCCGAGTTTCGAGGATGTCTCAGGCGAAACGGGCCGGACCACCTCGCGCAGGGCATCTCAGAGCTCAGAGTTTCGAGGATGTCTCAGGCGAAACGGCCCGGACCACCTCTCGCACGGCACCTCGGGGCTCAGAGTTTCGAGGATGCTTCAAGCGAAACGGCCTGGACCACCTCTCGCGCGGCGTCCCGGAGCGCAACTTTTCGATGATGTCTCAGGCGAAACGGCCAATCCTGGCCAACTCAGAAACGAGAGTTGTGAGGATGTCTCAAGCGAAACGGCCCGGACAATCAAATTTTTGTGAGGATGTCTCTGCTCCGACTTCCCTCGGCCGGAGTTAGCTTCTATCACAACAGCACCCCGTTCAGCAAGCTGTTTGGGGAATGATCAAACGAATGATAATAATACTATTATTATTATGATTATTATGATTATTACGGTTATTATGATTATGATTATTATTAGTGTAATTTTATTATTACTACTATTAGTATTATTACTATTATTATTAACATTATTATTATTATTATTACTGATATACTCGTAATGATAATGATGATGTTAACAATATCAACACGAAGAACAGCATAAACATAAACTTTTGGCGCTCCGCGCGGAGCGCCAACAGTTTATATTTATGCCATTTCTTCTTCTTCTGAGCATCGTTTAACCGATCCCCATCCCCACCAGCGTGGGCTGGGCCCCACTGGCCGATTCACCCCCCTGATGGGGATCTAGGCTGCTCTCTTCGGGTTTCGAGGGGCATATCCCCAACTGAGGCGGTGAGACGGTGGGGCTCGAGATGTGGATGGGGATGGGGACAGGGATCGGTTAAACGATACTGATCTTCGACCTCTCGCGCGGCGGGCGAGCTCCGCGTGCAGCCGCTCCACCTCCGCGGCGGGCACAAAGGCGTCGCAGACCGCGAGCCCGCCCGCTTCCAGCAGCGCCGCGGCGGCGCACGCCGCGCGGCGGGCCGCGCCCGCGCTGCCCGACCAGCAGGCGGACACGTCCAGGGCGGGCGGCGGGACCACCTGAGCGACGGAGGAGGAGGAGGAGGAGGGGGAGGAGGAGGAGGAGGAGGAGGAGGAGGAGGAGGAGGAGGAGGAGGAGTTAAAGTAGCCTGAGAGGAGGAGGAGGAGGAGGAGGAGGAGGAGGAGGAGGAGGAGGAGGAGGATTCCAGGAATGGCCGTGCCCATCTCATACAGTGCGGGCGCGGCCGCAAGAAGCCCTCCGAGGAAATCCAGCCCTGAAACCCCGCGACGGAAGGAAAGGCGTCTTCAGGTGAATCCAGGAAGTAGGGGAACGAAGAATGACATAAACAGAAAAACGCGGAGGTCCGCGCGGATTCCTCGGATCCGCGCGGGAACCCCCTGGCGGCGCCTCCAGCGCCGATCCAAGAAATCCGCGGGGACCGCCGAGTTTTTCTGTTTATGTCATTTTGTGTTCCCCTAGGAATGGCCTCGCCCATTTTATACAGCGCGGGCGCGGCCGCAAGAAACCCTCGGAGGAAACCCAGCCCTGAAAACCCGCGCGCGGGGTCCCCTCTGAGGGGAGGCCCGGAGCACCCTGAACGCAGCAGCTTCTTTAACGGCTGCGGGAAGTCACCGCGCAGCGCGCGGAGCGAAGAAATCCAGGATCCCTGACAAAAAGCGCATGGTTTCTTGATGCGCGCCCCCACTGTGGCGTTGCCAACTTGCGGCAGTCACACACCCCGTGTTTCGGGGCACGGCTCGTGACTCGGGAGCCCATCAGGAGCCCCACGGGGCTGATGTGACCCCGTGTTGGCCCCGTTACCCAACGGGTCTGATGCGACCCCGTGTTGGCCATGAACGCCGCTCCAATACAAAGCCCTTTGTGACGCGAACATAAAGTGGTCGGCGCCGAAAACCTTTCGGGGACACGCCCAGATGCCGGAACGGCCCATGATCGCTGGAGCCACGTCTCTCGACATCACGCGAACCATGGCAAGCAACAGTAACCGAAACTCGGCAGCCCCAAAAGCTGCGCGGATCTCCGAAAGTGTATGTTTATGCATTTTTTCTATCTCGATAGAGGAAAAGGGTCTCACGCACGATGACTCAGCGACCTTGCACGGTGGCTTGCGCGGGCCGCCAGCGCGCGGCACGCCCCACTGGAAACAACCCACTTGCGCGGCGGCTTCCGCGGGTCGCCAGCGCGGTTCGCCTCATTGGGCACGGGGGGGCTCCGAGCGCCACCTTGCGCGGGAAGCTGGCGCGCGAACGTCGGCGCAGTCGACCCCCCGTGGGGCTGCTGCAGGATGCCCGCCCGGCGGGCCGCCGCCGCGTCCTGCTCCTGAGGAGGGCCGGGCGGAGGCCACGGGTGGCCTTCCCAGCTCCTCCTCCTCCTCCCTCCTCCCTCCTCCCCCTCCCCCTCCTCCTCCTCCTCCTCCTCCTCCTCCTCCTCCTCCTCCTCCTCCTCCTCCTCCTCCTCCTCCTCCTCCTCCCCCTCACATGCTGCTTCCTCCCGTCGCTCGCCTGCAGGATGGTCTGCGGCCGGCGGTCCGCCAAGACGCCGCGCACGGCCGCCAGCAGGCGCGAGAGCACCTGCTGCTTCACGGCGTAGCCCCTCGCCGTCGCGTTGGCCAGGTTCGCGGCCACCGTCTCGACGACTGCCCAGTCCACCTCTCGAGCAGGGGATCGACTACAGAATTGACTTACCCCCAAGTTTGACTTTCCCGTCGAATCCGCGACAAAGGCGCAGAGTGCTCCGTAGATCTATGGAGCACTCGAAGGATTTCTCGTCGACCCGACGGAGAAATCAACCTTGTCTTAGGTTGGGCATGTCCTCCTACAGGCGGATTCTGGAGGAATAATGAACAATAGTCGAAACATAAGCCCAAATGGTCAAAATATTATAACAATCGCCTCCCAGACTATTTTTTTACTATTGTTGAATATTTCTCCTGCGGAGGGACACGCCCGACTTCAATCTTGAGGAGGAATAGAGGCCTCCTAGATGAGGTCGGAGTAGATGGGGTCGGAGGATCGCGCTGCATCGCCGATACATCGGCGATGCATCGGCGATGCATCGGCGATGCACCAGCGATGCATCGGCGATTTGGGCGATGCATCGGCACCGTTGGCGCGGAGAACATCGGGCTCCACATCGAGCCGAATCGCCGATGCATGGGCGATGCGGCGCGATCCTCCGACCCCATCCACTCCGACCCAAACTGGGAAGCTCAGAAAAACAACTCCATTCAATAATCGTTCCCCTGCCCGAACCTCTGCGCGCCGGGCGGCCAGCGCCTGGAACATCGCGTCCGGGCCGCCCGCCGCGAGCAGGTCCCGGAGCAGCGCCCCGGCGGCCTCGGCCGAGCCCGGGCGGCTCTGCTCGTCCAGCAGGGCGAGGTTCTCCGGCCGCACCCTCCGGCAGGCGCCGCCCACGCGCACCGAGAAGGTTCAGGAGGAAAAGGAGAAAGAGGAGGAGGAGGAGGAGGAGAAGGAGGAGGAGGAGGAGAAGGGGGAGGAGGAGGAGGAGGAGGAGGAGGAGGAGGAGGAGGAGGAGGAGGAGGAGGAGGAGGAGGAGGGAGGAGGAGGAGGAGGAGGAGGAGGAGGAGGAGGAGGAGGAGGAGGAGGAGGAGGAGGAGGAGGAGGAGGAGGAGGAGGAGGAGGAGGAGGGGAGGAGGAGGAGGAGGAGGAGGAGGAGGAGGAGGAGGAGGAGGAGGAGGAGGAGGAGGAGGAGGAGGAGGAGGAGTTGAAGTAGCCTGAGAGGAGGAGATGATGATGATGATGATGATGATGAGGAGGAGGAGGAGGAGGAGGAGGGGAGGAGGAGAGGAGGAGGAGAGGAGGAGGAGGAGGAGGAGGAGGAGACGGAGGAGTTAAAGTAGCCTGAGAGGGAGGAGGAGGAGGAGGAGGAGGAGGAGGAGGGAGAGGAGGAGGAGGAGGAGGAGGAGGAGGAGGAGGAGGAGGAGGAGGAGGAGGAGGAGGAGGTTGGAGGAGGAGGAGGAGGAGTGAGTGAGTGACCCCAATCGCGAAGCGACATCCGACGATTCACGAAACCCGCCCCGCCTGCTTGGCCTTGCTCTGGACCTTCGGCCACTGGCCAGCGGCGATTCGAGACAGATACTCGGACCTGGCGGAATTCGTGGTCTTGAGACAAGGTTGCCCCAGACCCTTCAACATCTGACTGGCAAAGCACCCGCACCGACTACAGAACCAGAGCTTCAAAGTGCCGTGCAGGGTGAGTTGGTGCGAGGGGTCTGCCCACCCCCCCCGCTAGGTGCAACCTGACTCCAGACGGGACCCTGAAAAAATCATCGTGCACGTGGACAGGATGAAAACACGGGGTACTCCTCCAAACAGGCAGCCTAGCTATGGCAGCGGAGCTGCAGCACCTACTACACTTACGACCAGTCTCGTCAAACTGATGGGAGGTGGTGAAAGTCTGAATCGCAGAAAAAGCAGGAGGAGGGGGAGGAGGTGGCTCACGTTGTTTCTTCCCGAGAGGCTCCTGACGTTTCTCTGCGACAATGGTGTCGAGCGTGGCGCGGAGTAGGCGAAGCCGAACGAGAAGAACCCTCTGCTCCCACTGCTCAGCTCGCACTCTCTCCTCTGCGCTGACCTGCGCGCGACTGGCTGCAGACCCTGCAAGTATATCCGCCACAGCATTTCCCAATATCATCCACATCGGGAATTTCCCAGATAACGCTTCACGGGCCTCCAGATGTGAGTTGACGAACAACACCACAAACGAGGCTGGGTCCCTGGAGGAATCGAAAACAGCTCCTATACGATGCCAAAGATCGGCGTCTGGTCCCGAGGGCTCACGATACAATTTTGAGGCCCATCCTTCAGCAACATATTCATTGTCCGTTGTGTACACCACTCGGCCCGACGAATGTTCAGCGGCCAAGAGAAGGGCCCGAAGTTCTCCACGAGAAACTGACTGCCGTTCTCCTGCAAGCCCGCCAGACATCGAACTGTCGATCTCGAGAGGTTCGAAAGAACAGATACAGGCAACCGAAACGCCCACGCGGCGATACCTTGTGCGCCCCGATAATTCACCGCCGCTGGCATCTCCAAACAGGAAGATCGGGGCGTCCCGCGAGCCGTGTCCGAACGCCCCTGTCAAAAGAATCTCTCCTGATGCCTGCCAGTGCTCCTCCTGCGACGGAGGCGAAACCTGAACGAGATGGGATGGGAGAAGCCCGCGGAGCCAGAAACATTCCATGGATTCCCAGCTGGAATAGGCCTCCCCCACCAAGCACTCTGAACACTTGTAGGCTGCAGCTTCTACATTGTGACTGCAGTCCCACATGCGATGGAATGGTTTCTCTGGAGCCTCACCGCACCGAGGGCACTTCGTGTCGAAGGGCTTGCCCTTGGTCGCAAGGAAATCCCCGCGGCGAGAACGAGTCCAGTACCCTCCAGCTGCGATGGTGACCAGTAGTTCTGCTAGCCGAGCTCCACGGTCGACCGACTGCAATTGCGAGTACAGCTGTCGCAGGGACGTGCAGTCGATGCCGCCTTCCATGCCACCGCCGCAAAAGTGTCGAGATGCCTGCTCCCACAGAGACGATCGAATATAATTCTGCACGTCGCGGATGAGGTGGCCTGGGTCATCGACATCAGGCCATCCTGTCCACGCTGAGTCGGGGAAGTGCCATTCGATGGATTCATCCTGTGGACCGGCTGCAGGCTTGAACCATTCGGTAGCTGAACGTGGGCCCCATCCGTTATTCAACAACAAAGTGATGACTGCAGAAACTGGTCCACGTATGTGCCGCGTGCGCTGCTGTGATGGAATGGCACGAAGCTTCTCCACCAGGGGGTCCCACACGCGGCAAACTCCACGTCTAAGTCCTGGCTCCTCCTGCCAGACTCGAAACCATTGTCGTAGCATCTCTTCTGGTAGTTTGAGTGCTGGGTCATGCGGGGCTCGCAGTGCTAGGACCGTGGTGAGACAGCGACCCTTGGACGGGGCCGCCACCACAGCACCTAGCCGTTGTCGAGCCTGGCGCAGGTAGACACCGTACGTGCCGTGTATCTGGTGTCCGTATAGCCCAGCAGCCTGAGCTCCGAGCCGCTCAAGCTTCGATGTGATGGCATATCGTCGCCCTGCACGGGCGAACTTGCGCACCTAGGTGTTCATCAGCCGATGCTTGTCCGCTCTCCTGCGTCTCGTAGCCCGAGCATGGCGACCGCCATCTCCTAAGTCCGTGCCTAGGAAGCCTGCAGTGCGTTGTGCTCGCACTTGGAAGCCCGCAACTCGAAGGGCACGGCAGACCTGAAGAGTATCTGAGTGGTGAGCACACACCACCACTGACTTGGATGCCACCTGAAGCTTCATCGCTCGAAGGCCCTTGCACGTGTCGCGGAGGCTGGCGACAAGTTGTTGCCGTGCACTGTCGCGAGAGCCTACTGCACGCTGAGCCAGATCATCCACCCATATGCGGTGACCCATCCGAGGATGAGCTGAACAGATCCTGTCGAGAACGAAATAGACCATGATCATTCCAAACCGTGTGCCTGACCGAAGGCCCTGGACCACCGACCTCGTGGGCACGATGGGGAGAGCCCACGAGCTGCACTGCCCCAGAGCTCGAGGCGCCATGCATTGCAGCACCTCCAAACACAAGATGGCTGCTGGAAATCCTAGTTGCAAACCCTTGGGTATTAGCAGCTCCCACACAATATTGTCGTAGAAGCCGTCGATATCTAAACATCCTGCTCCAGAAACCACACCGAGTTGATGCCCGACCTCCTCCTCCAGGGTGCGAACGAAGGCTTCGCGGAGAGCCGCGTTGCCCTTCGCTGCAGCGTCCCAGTAGGGGGCCGAGGAGTCCGACCATTGTCGAACTACTGGCTCTCTGATGAGCGACCACAACCTGCTGAACATAGAAAGACGACCTATGATTCGGTCGCCTTCTGTCTTCTTCGGCAGAAGGCGACCGAGGGTAATCATGATCTGGCGTGGCCAGACAGGCTCAGCTTCGATCATCATGTACAGATCTGCCAGCTCGTCCAGCGCCGTCAGAGGCAAGCGCTCGAAGTCTATGGGTGACATGCGATCGCATCCTTGTCCAGCTCGCGCAGGCATGCGCCTGGCTGCCTCTCTGACATCGGCGCCAGTGATGGGAGGCAAGGGCTCGAGTTCTGCACGTTCGCGACCCTGCCGAAAAGCCTCCTGAATGGCAGCCTCCGTGGACAAAGACGGTGCCCACTTCTGCCGCCACTTCAGAGCTTTGTGATCGACCAGGTCTAACGGCTGAAACAAAATGTCGTATCCGACTTCGATCTCATGCTTGACCATTGCCTCCTGACGTAGACTGCGATGAAGCGGACCAAGCGCCGACTGCTCGGTCATCCACTTGCCAAACTTCTGCATGTATGCATGGACCGAGCGCTGCTGTCCGCGGTCTGCGATCTTCTCAGAAGCGGCTGCAAAACTCTGAAGACGCATGGCATCCACTGTAGCAGCACCGCTCTGCATGTCAGCCGCCATCTCGACCCAGTCGTCCCAGGTGGATCACGGCCGTTGAGAAGGGCATGAGCTGAGTCGGGACGCGAGTCCATCTGCAAGGCCAGCGCTGCAATCAGACGAGCCCGTTGCTGATGTCCATTGTCTCGAACGTAGTGCCGAGCGAGTCCTGCATAAATTGTGTGAAGCCGCCCCCACCAACCAGCCACAAGGTCTGCGCACGTCGCGACGCGAGTGCGCTCCTGCCGTTGGAGGGCGGCTATACGAAAACTGGGTCCACTGCCTCGCAGGACTCCAGAAGTTGCCTGAAGAGAATGATGCCGTTGGATACTCAGCTCCGCCGAACGTACCCATGATGCGTACAAGGAGGCTATAGCCTGAGAGGTGCCAGGCTCATGGAGCCGAAATGCTACGGATTGCTCGAAACCTGGAGCTGGTGGGCACTCGTTGCTGGGAATGAACCCCACATCCGATTTGCACTCAGACCAGGTCAGTTCCGAGACATAGAAAGGACATTCCTGCACCAGATCTCCGACCACAGAAGGCTGCGCATCCTGAGATACCAACGGCACCGACTGCTCATTAACAAAGGAAGAGAGAGGCCGAGGAGGAGGAGGAGTCGGGGTGGTACCACCGTCGGAGTCAGGAATTTGACTGCACGTCCTAAGCGGGGGGTCTCGGGCTCGAATTCCAGGCTCTCCAGGGGCGGAAGCTTGTCTAGTGGGGCTCCCACCGCCAGGAGGCCGCCGGCACGGCGACGAAACAGAACCGCAAGGTACAGCTGGTTTAAAGTCGGACTCGCGGGCCCAAGGGTCGACCTCATCGGGCCAGGGGCCCTCGTCCTCCAACGGCTCGCCAGAGAAAGGAAAATCGAGACCCTCTGGAAAATCCCCCTCAAATTCAAAACCTACGCCAGCAGGAGGGGGGGAATCTTCAACTGACTCACGCTCCTGATCGACTGTGGCATCATCGGATGAGAAGAGATCAACGAAGAATTTGCGAAAGTGTTTTTTCCCGCAACTCCTGGCGCCTCTGCTGCTTCTCCTCGTTCACGGCTCTCGCTCGGGCCGACTTGGACCCTGGCGTCGGCTGGGCCCGAGGCCTGGTCACCTGCGGGAGACGCCGCGGCATGTCCAGGTACCGCGCCTGCAGGGCCCTCGCCGAGCGCCGAAGTCGCACCAGCAGGCCCACGTGCGGCTTCCACGGTACGCTGACCACAGGCTCGAGCGAGGCGATGATGGGCTGCGCCTCGGCTGATACAAGCATGTAGTACAGGTGGCTGGCGTCCCGCTTCCCGACGTTGCAGGTGGCCTCCAAATTCGCGTGCATGATGCTGGCCTCCGAGCGCAGGCCCCGCATGAAGCTGGACTTGCTCAGAGTGGTTGGCGTGGCGTTGAAGTCGCCGATGACTAGCCACGGCACTGCCAGCGAATTCAGGAGAGCCCCGAGCCGCTGGAACCTGCTGAGGTTCGCTCCCGCGATCCCCAGCGAAGGAAAGCCGTAAAACACGATGACCGCCAGCGTGAAGCCGCTGAGGTGGATGAGGACGGCTTGAAACCCGTCCAGCTCCCGATGCCCGTGAGCTCGAAGTGGACGACCTCCAGACTCTGATAGCAGCGTCTGCATCTGAAGATGGCCCTTGGCAAGCACCCACTCGCCGCCTTCGTTCGCATGGGCTCGCTGAGCTCGAGAAACCCTGCGCTGTCGAGTGCGAGCCCCATTGCCCAAGAGACGATATCCAGCGGCGCGCGCCTTCTTGTCCCAAACAGGCAAATCAGCACTAGACGCATGTGTCTCGACAGCGGCTGCAAAATCAAAACTGCTATCAACAAGATAACCCCACGATTTGTCTCCAATACATGTGATATTGGCGAAGAATAGATGTACCAGATCCTGGTCCTGGTGCTCCCCCGAGTTCGCCTGGCTGCCTGCAGTCTCTCCCGTAGTGGCTGACGAGCTCGGCGTCGTACTCGAGGGGGGTGCTAGTCACAGATCAGGATCATCGGCAGCCGCTGCTGCCGCGATATCCTTGCCCCCTCTAGCGGGAGCTCCCTTGCCTTTGCCCGTCACGCCCTTGGTGTTGGCCGACTGCTCCTTGAGCGCCTGCGCCTGAGCCGCGAGCCTGGCCGAGGAGAGACGCGCTGCCGCTGCCAGGAGCTCCGCATCGTCCTCGGAATCACACCCAGCTGGAAGCCTGGCTGCATCGGCATCGCTGCTGGCGCTGCCCATGCTGGCGTCCGCTGCCGCCGCCATAGGGGGGGAGCGCCCTGCGCAAGGCCTGGCGAGCCGCCTTTGCCTGCGCCTGGGCCGGTGCTTGATGACCCCCCCGAGGGCGGCACCTCGTCAGGCTCGGCCTTCCGCTTCTTGCGGAACCGATCCTGCATCTCCTGCGCCTTGGAGAGCATCGCCGACACCTCGGCCTCCTTGCCCTCCATGACATGCTGGAGCTTCTCTAAGTCGAGCTTTATCTTCCTGAGCTCGGTCCTCTCGCCGTCCGAGCAATCTAAGTCATCGATGCCGTCGAAGAGCTCCTTGTCCCAGCTGACTGCGAACTTGGGCTGGGTTGCTCCTTCAGGCCGAAGTACCACTCCTTCTGCCACTGCCATGGCCTCGGCGGCTGTGCGCTTGGCCCTCTCGGCCTGCGCCAGCGCCAAGGCGGCAGCCTGCTCGCGGGTCCGCGCCTGGGCCAGGTTGGCCTCGAGGCGCACCACCTGCGCCGCTGCCTGCGTGTGCTTGTGCTCGGCATCCTTGAAAAGACCCACCGCCTTCTTGAGAGCCTCAGCCGGCCCCGCGGACGCGGTGGGGGCGGTGCCGCCCAGACGCTTCACTTGCGCCTCGAGCACCTGCCGAAGATCAGTGTCCTGTGTGCCCTTCACCGCCATGCGGAGTAACTCGGCTACGTCGAGCGACGCGGCGGCCTGCAGCTTCTCAGCCTTGGTCTTGGAGTTGTCCTTCCCTTTGCCCTTGCCGCCCTGCGGGATGGCCGCGCCCTGACCCGCGTTGGCGGGGGGGGGCGGCTCCTGCGCGCGGGCGGCTGCGGAGCGAGGGCGAGAATTGTGCAGCTTGACCTTCCGATTACATCCTAGGCAGACTCTGTCTCGTGCTTCCAAAATGTCATTGTATTCACAACGCTGGCAGGAACAGCGGGACCAGAGACGGGCCATGATCAAAACTCCTGTTTTGGTCGACGTTCAATCCCTGAACTTGGAGGAAAGGGATAAAAACGTAGTGCCTCAAGTACCCCGTGCAGGCACAGGAGCGGGGCGTTGCCAAAATGGCCAGAGCCCCTATGTTACTTGAGGGAGGAGGAGGAGGAGGAGGAGGAGGAGGAGGAGGAGAAGGGAGGAGGAGGAGGAGGAGGAGGAGGAGGAGGAGGAGGAGTTAAAGTAGCCTGAGGAGGAGGAGGAGGAGGAGGAGGAGGAGGAGGAGGAGGAGGAGGAGGAGGAGGATGAGGAGAGGAGGAGGAGGAGGAGGAGGAGGAGGAAGAGGGGGGGGGGGAGGAGGAGGAGGAGGAGGAGGAGAGGAGGAGGAGGAGAGGAGGAGGAGGAGGAGGAGGAGGGAGGAGGAGGAGGAGGACCTGCCAGCGCCCGCTGGCGTCGTCGAAGTCTTCGAGGCGGCCGCGCTGCCCGTTCAGCGCCCGCCCGCCCTCGGACTCCAGCGAGTGTACCTCCACCGCCCGCCCCCGCAGCGCCTCGCCGCTGCGCGCCGCCCGCCGTGGCGCCCCGCGGCTCCGCAGGCCCAGCGGGTCGCGGCCGGCCGGGCAGCAGTCGCACTCGGTCAGCGACGATAGGCTCGACAGCGCGGACACGAGCCTGCAGGGAGACCAGCAGCTACCGATCTACCGACACGCCCCGGACCTTTCCCGGGGTGCGTCATGACCAGGACTGCGAGGCGAACCCAGCGGTGGCGACGAGGGCCGCCAGGATCTCGAGGCGAATCCAGCGGTGGCGACGAGGGCCGCCCGGGAGGCCCAACCAAGGGAACACGGGCGACGGGTGGCGCCTTCATGTTTCCTTCTCCGAGAGCCGGGGGGGCAGGCGCAGCCCGCTCTCGAAGATCGCGGCGTGGAGGGGCGAGCAGCGCACCAGCGGGCACACGCCGATCGCCACGGCCCAGTGCGCCAGCAGCTCGGCGGGAGAGCAGCCCGCCTCCGAGGCCCACGCGGCCACCAGGGGCACCTCCAGGGGCGCGGCGCACGAGTGCAGCGGGTTGAAGAGCGAGACGCCGACCGGCACGATGCCGCTGTCGCGGAGGAAGCGCCACAGCGCGGACGGTCCGCTGCTCTCCTCGTGGAAGTAGCCGCCTTGGTGGAACACGGAGCACTTCAGCTGCACCATGGCTGGCCGCAGCTCGGGTGGCCTGTCGCGCACCAGCGCCCTCAGCTGCACCAGCGTCACGTTCGAGGCGCCGAGCGACCTGGCGCGCCCGGCGCGCACCTCTGCCTCCATGACTGCCCAAACCTCCCCCAGCGACTGGTCGGCCTCGGGCGAGCGGTGCAGCATCAGGCAGTCGACGTACTGCCCGCCCCAGCGGCGCCACGAGTCCCGCAGCGTCTGCCGAAGCCCATCGGCGGTGTCTGAGGCCACCTTTGATGGGCCTGTTTTCCACCACCACCACCAGAATTTGGAGGGGGAAGGAGGGAGAGGACGAGCAGGAGGAGGACGAAGAGAAGGAGGAGGAGGAGGAGGATCCCCTCCCCCTCCAACTTATGGTGGTGGTGGTGGAACACAGGCCCATCAAGATAGGCCCCAAGCCTTCACCCTTCGGGGAGGAGAGCGACTACAGAATTGATCTGCCCCAGAATTGCATTTCGATGGCTCTGGGTTCCCGCGACGTTCGCCCGACGACACGAAGGCATGAGTACATGCATGCCTCGTCTTAGGGGGCCCTGGCCCGGGGTGGGGCTCGACGACCTGAAGGCATGGCGACATGAAGATCGGGCCACCTTGAGCGTGACGAAGACCTCGTCCCGGGGCACGCAGGAGCGCCGGATGGCCTCGGCGACCGCCGCCTCCGTCGCGTACTCCGCCGCCGTGTCCACGTGGCGCGCGCCCCGCCTCAGCGCCGCGAGCACGCTCTCCTCGGCCTGCTCCTCCGACCATCGGGGAGACGTAAGGCTCGGGCACGGGTCTGGGTGACCCCAAACGAAGTCCAGCTGCAAGGGGGTGGTGCAATAGATGGGGCGCAATTGAGTTGCACATGTGTTGCGCCGGAGGATTGTATTGCATTGTATTGCATCTCATGTGTTGCACGCGGACATCCAGCAATACATTTGCGCCCCAGAATGTATTGCACGCCCCACATGTATTGCAACCCCACAAATATATTGCACCAAATCTATTGCACCACCCCCTTGTCGCTGGACCCCCTATTGGGTCAACCCGAACGGGGGACTCGGGTTGGCCTGATGGCGCCGTCAGGAAAATGTCGAGTCTCAATCTGAGATTGGACGCGACGTCCCGCCGCAAGAACACCCCACAAGAACTGGACCGTCACAATCCAGAACGGGCTCGTCAAGCAGTGCCGGGAAACCCGGGGCTCCGGCGAACTCGAGTCTTCTACGTTTCCTTTACCGAGCCACGCCGCTTCCAGACATGCGATGTCCAGATTTTTTCCATACGGGGTCCCCGGAAGTCCTGACCCTTTCCCTGGCACCCGCTTTTCGTCCCGAATCGTTTCTTGACGGCCCCAGGGCCCGGCAAGGGGCCCCCAGAGGCCGAACAAGGCCCCCAACCCCGGGGAGCTCGAGCCTTGCGCGTCTCCCCGAGACAGCTTCCACGTGCCCACGCCGGGGCCCACCAGCCGGCCGCTGCCCAGCCTCCACCGGGCGCCGGCGAGGCCCGCCGAGCTGCCCCGCGCGGGCGGCGGCCCGAGCGGCTCCGGCTGCGGCACGGCCAGCGGCGCCGCGTCGGCCACGGCGCCCAGGGCCCGCTCCGCGGCCGCCACGACGGCCGGCACCGCCGGGCCCGGAGCTCCGCCCGCCGCCCGCTCGGCCAGCGCCCGCTCGACGCCGCCCTCCGCCGCCCGCAGCTGCGGGCCGAGCGCGGCGGGCGCGCCCAGCCGGCAGCAGCGGGCCGCCAGCAGCGCGAGCTCGGCGAGCCCCACCTCTCGGCGGCTCCAGGACGGGGTCCTGAAGGATCCTTCGACGGGGTCCTAATTAGGACCCCGTCGACGGGGTCCTTCGGTCCCCCGCCCACCCAATTAGGACCCCGTCGACGGGGTCCTAATTGGATGGGCGGGGGCCCAAGGGTGGATTCGCGCTGTTTGAGGACCCCATCCCTCAGGACCCCATCTTCGAACCACCGACCACCTCCGCCTTGAAGCGCTCGGAGCCCCGGGCGCCGGCGGGCACCTCGAGCTGCCGGAGTTTGCGCAGCGCCCACTCCGCGGTCGCCCGCAGCTCGAACAGCACCTCCGGCGCCTCCGCGGCGGCTGCCTCGCTTGGCGCTGCTGGGGCCTCGGAGGGGCGCTCGCCGGCAGGGCCACGGGCAGCGGCGGCTTCGTCCTCGACCTGGGCAGGCTGCGAGGAGTCTGTGGCACCGCCGGCCGCGGCGCTGGCGTCCTTGGCCTCTTCGGCCGCAACAAGGCTGGCCCAGGTGCCGCCGGCCACGCCATCGTCCTCGCTGGGCTGCCAAGTGAGGCGCAGGCGCCCCTTTCGAAAGCTGGCGGCGCAGGAGGCGACGTCGATGGCACCCGCGCGCAGCGTGACGCAAACCTGCGTGCCGAGGGCGCGGAAGACTACGCGGTCGGCCCTCACGTCGAGGTCCTCGAGCAGTCGGCTTGGAATGAGACAAAGACAGACCCTGGAGGTCGGCTGGTCTCAACATGCTCCTACGTTTCAATATGTGGCGGCCTCCATACCTGAACCCTGGGCCGCGGATCGCCACGGGAGGCGCCAGGGTATTGAGACCGCCCTGGACCTCCATAAAGACCTGTTGGGGCCAGCTGGGAGTACCTCACGGGGCTGTCTGTGCGCAACCATGAACCATGGCAATTCCAATCCTCCGACGGCGCTTCTGATTGGCTGTCTATCTCTGTTCGCAGCCATTCCGCGTATGCATGTTTTGTACATACACATCTTTACACACATACATTTACATACATGTATACCATATATATATATAGATACATATATATATATAAATATATGTATGTGAGTACACGCACATATATATATATATATATGTATGTGTAGACTCGCGCACACACGTGCTTGCATGAATGACGTGTCTCTCTCTATATATATATATGTATATCGATATACACGTATTTATGCATGTATGTATGTATGCATACATGTACGCATGTTTGTGTGCATGCATGCATGTATACATGTATGCATGCAGGTATGCATGCATGCATGCAATTAGGTATACACGTATGTATACCTGCACGTGTGTATGTATGTAAACATGCATGCATGTGTGCGTTTGCATGCATGTATG